GTGCTGCTTCGCGAATCGTGAAACCAATACCGTCGACTGATGTCACCTAGTACGTGCTACTCCATGAAAATAGCTTTTTTCACGAACTAATCTCACGCGTAGGATTCACTACGGCCTTGTTCTGCAGGCGCATCAGCCCAGGCCTGGGCCAAAAAGCACCCCCCCAGGTTACCCACAACTTACCCCAGGGCGGGATACCCTCGGGGTCTTCGTCTAGGTGACCCGCGGGATCCTGCGATGGCGTTCCTGCAATGGGATGGGAACCCCGGAAAAGTGCAAAAACTGCGTCACGTCCAAAGTGAAAGGTCCAGCGTGGCATATTTTGGGTAATATACAGTCCATACGGGTTCTGGAGGAGACCTTTCCTCCAACACGGGGCGTTGGAGGAAACGTGTTGGAGGAATGAGCTGGCAAGCTGACCGCGGGCAAAAAAAAACTAAAACCCATTCGGAAGGGCATGCCGTTCGTGAGCCTCAACTATAAAAATTTAGGGTTTTGGCTCCCGAACGGCATGCCCTCCATGTGGGGTTTATTTTTTTCCTTGCCCGCGCTCAGCTTGCCAGCTCATTCGACTGCCAGCTGACGCTGGCAGTCGAATGAACCTTTCAGACCATCGCATTCCGCACGTGCCGAACGATCCTCCAGATACACCCAGTTTCGCGCCAAAATGGCATTGGCCATATTGGCGCACCAGCTGCACACACATCAATGCGTCCAGAATGGTTCCAGAACATACCATATAAGGGCGTGTGACATTTTTCATATTTTTCGTCCGGACGGCCAGCCGTTCGGACGCTTGTGTGGTTACGAAACTCGTTAAATCTCGGCAGTGAGTTCGTCAGGGTCTAAACGACATCGCTTTCTTCGTATTGCATCCTTACGACATCGCATTGGTCGCAACACGACCGTGCGACGTCGCAATCTTCGCACGCGTCAGGGCAGCCGTCCGGACTTTCAGCGACTTCAAAAAATGTAACACGCCCTAAGCACATCTGCCAAACTCAGCCGTACGCAAAAGCAAGTTTCCTTCTAAAAACCGTTGTGTACCGTTCACATGGAGTGCCTTTGCCCGGCACCTACCTGGGGTTCGGTGGCAAGCACCAGACCGCTAGGTTCCAAGCATACCTGCGCACTGTAGCCAGTGAATCTCATTGCCAGTGTGGCGAGAAAGAGGGTGTACAGACAACGAATGTTGAACTTGAGGGGACCTCATGGAAACCACTCCCAGCCTTTCGGAACGAATCAAACGCGAGCAGAGTCCTCGCTGTGAAATACATCGCCAACACCACCGGATTTTGCCGACAGTAAAAGAACATACACGTGAGAAGAAACAAGGAATGAATGAACTATGAATGAATTGGGTACAAGTACTAACCCTAATTGGGTTGTACCCCTTATGGGCTACCCCACTATAGCCTACACAATATGCATGAGCTATAATGTTCTGACACACCCCCATAGGCAAAGTGGGGGAGAACAAGGGGTCACAAGACCAGTCAAGCAAAGCAAGCTCAGGGTGGATCACAAAGTCACCACACATTCCGAGCACAAGTTCAAGGCCACAAGGCCAGTTCACATGCAGGAGTACATATATATAAAAAGACTAGACAAGCAAGAGCAGGTATATATATATATGTAACAGTACAAGCAAGGTCAAGAGGTGAGCAAGTGAGGCAAGGTAGGCACAAGGCCCAGCTGAGTACAGAAGCGCTGATGGTCACAAGGCGCAAGCGCCTTGGTGAAGATATCAGCAGTGTTGGCCTCAGAGGCCACGTACGCAAGACGCAGCTGACCACGCTGCTGCAGCTCACGAGCAAGAAAGTAGCGGAGAGCAATGTGCTTCGTTCTGTGCTCCAGTCGCTGCTCCCGACACAAGGCCAGCATGGCCTTGTTGTCTACGTACAGCACTGGAGGAGAACGAGGCGGCTCTCCGAGGTCAGTCAGCAGGTAGGTGAGCCAGCGAAGCTCCTGTGCAGCCATGGCTCCTGCGTAGATCTCAGCCTCACAACTGGAGCCGAGAACAGAAGACGAGCGAGTAGCCCGCCACGAAACAGAGCCGGAACCAAGGCTAAAGGTGTAACCCTGTGACGACCGCTGCGTAGCCTGGTCGTCAGCCCAAGAAGCGTCTGCGTGCCCAGTAAGGACCACTGGACTCTGCCCTCCAAGCACAAGCCCCATGCCCGACGTACTGCACAAGTAGCGCAACACCCTCTTCGCTGCAGCCATGTGCTCCGGTCTGTGTCTCCCAGGAGCAACATAGCGTGCGAGAATGCTAAGAGGGTATGCAAGGTCAGGTCGTGTGCAGGTCATCAGGTACATGAGGCAGCCAACAAGCTCTGGGTACGGGCCACTCGACTCTACGGACTCATCCGAAGGCAGAGCTGAGAGCGAGTGGCGAGTAGGCAGAGGAGTGGCCTGAGGCGAGGAGTACGTGAAGCCGAAGCGCTGAAGGACCTGCTGCACCATGTGTGACTGAGTCAGGGTAGCTGCGCAGTTCACCCAGGTCTGTGCACGTGTGTCTCTTCTGCAGCTCGGACTTCACGTGGGCGAGTCCAGCAGTGTCAGCTGTGGCAAAGACCAAGTCGTCGACGTACACGAGGATGTAGAACGGCGGCAAAGAAGTGTCGGTGCGCAGAAACAGCGACGGGTCGGCAGTAGAGGGAGCAAACCCAAGAGCCGCAAGTGTAGTCCTCAGTGTGTCGTGCCACTCACGCGGTGCCTGGCGGAGACCGTAGACTGGCCGCCGGAGGCTCCACTGGGTGCCAGGAGGAAAAGTCCCAGTGAAGCCAAGTGGGCGGCGCAGCCAGATCTCCTCGTGCAGGCTGCCCTGCAAGAAAGCAGTGCTGAAGTCAGGAGAGTGCAGCTCGTAGTCACGGTGAGCAGCTATGTGTAGTAGTACCCGAAGAGTGGTCATCTTCGGGGTGGGAGAGAAGGTCTGAAAGTAGTCAACTCCCTGCCGCTGACTGAAGCCACGAGCCACGTAACGCGCCTTGAAGACAGGCGGAGAACCCGGCGGCCGCTTCACCCTGAAAATCCACATGCCACTGACGATGTTCGCCCCAGGCGGGGGAACCTCGTCAACGTAGGTGCCTGTGGACTTCCAGGAAGCCATCTCTGCGTCCATAGCTGCCTGCCACTGAGAGGAGTAGGGACCCTCTATCGCCTCCGCGTAAGAGCGCGGAGTCGGGATGTCAAGACGCAGGCTCACGACGCTCAGCAAGACCTCCAGTAGGACCAGTGTAGGGAGACGGAGCAGGCAGTGGGGAGGCCGGTTGTAACTGTAACTGCGACGGGACAGGCTGTGGACACTCTAAGGGAGGAGGAGGACCAGTAGAAGACGGGAGACCAAGAACCTGCTGAAGGAGCGGAACGAAGTACGGCCGAGGCCGCGCGGCGACTCCAGACACAGCAGGGACAGCACCAGCACCCCCTGTGGCAGCACCAGTACCAGTAGCAGCTCCAGCTCCAGTACCCCCAGCAGCACCAGCAGTACCCCCAGCAGGACCGCCTCCAGGACCGACAGCAGTAGCCTCCGCGCCAACACCCGCAGCAGCTCCAGCTCCAGAAGTACCCGCAGGTCCAGCAGCTCCAGTACGCCCAGTACGAGCACCTCCGGGACCCGTGGCACCAGCTCCCTCAGCAGCAACAGAAACTCCAGTACCCGCAGCTCCTCCAGCTCCAGCAGCTCGCCTCCAGCGCCGGGCAAACCACTCACGCAGCTCCTGTGGAGAGAGTGGCTCCCGGCGAGAAGAAGCACCCGGAGAACCGCCAGGCACAGCACCAGCAGGCCCAGCTCCCTCAGGCTCCGCACCCCCAGGCTCAGCACCTCCAGGCGTAGCACCCGCAGGCTCAGCACCCCCAGGCGTAGCACCCCCAGACTCAGCACCCCCAGGCTCAGCACCCCCAGTCGTAGTACCCTCAGGCTCAGCACCCCCAGGCGTAGCACCCACACGCTCAGCACCCCCAGAGTCAGCACTCCCAGGCTCAGCACCCTCAGCAGCACCAGAGTCACCAACGACCTCGACAGGCTCAACAGCGTCTACCTGGGACACACCTGAAGGGGCAGGACCCTGAGGGGGGAGGGGGTCTACCGGGGGGGGACCTGGTACAAGGAAGAGCGGTGGCGGGGGGAGGGACGGAGTGCGGTAGGGGAAGAGGCGGTAGTAGGGGACCGACTCGTCGAACGTGACGTCCTGGGAGGACAGAACACGGCGAGAGGTGGGGTGGTAGAACTGCCACCCGGGGGCGTCAGGGGGGAAACCCAGGAAGACGCAAGGAGCAGCACGAGGGGACAGCTTGTCCGCAGACAAGTCGCGGACAAACGCCCGAGATCCCCAGACACGGAACGCAGACGCATCGCCAACCTTCCCCGTCCACAGTAAAGCTGGGGAGGTCTCCGGCATGGAGACCCTGGGCTGAAGGTTGATCTGATGCGCTGCGTACCGAACCGCAAACGGCCACAGAAAATGGGGGGCAGCCGCATGCATCATGGACGTACGGGCGACGTCCATGACCATGCCAATGCGGCGCTCAGCAATCCCATTTTGCTGTGGAGAGTCCGGAAGCGTGAAGGTCTGGCGGATGCCTCGTGCACGACAGTAGGCTCGCAGAAGGCCAGAGGAGAACTCTCCGCCTCTGTCAGAGTGCAGGCGCAGAACAGGAAAGTCCGAGCCGAAGCTCCGCCTGAGCTGGAGACGAGCTGCGCGGATCCAGTCGATCAACACCTCAGTGACATCACCCTTGCTGCGCAAGGGGAAGACTGTGGTGTAACGCGAGTAGTCGTCAACCACCAGCAGGAAGTAGCGCTCGTGACCCTGTCCACGGACGCGGGCCGGGCCCCACACGTCCATGTGAAGCGTCTGCAGCGGGGCCTCTGTCGGAGGAAACTGGGAGGAGTGAGGGGCAGCCCGCTGCCGCCCCTCGACACAGGGGACGCAGGTAGGGCCAGGCCCCGGAGGAAGGGGAGGGAGGGACCGGGGAAGACCAGAGACAAGGACACG